AAGGAGTGTACAGTTGAATATGCTGGGCCTGAGCTCTCCAGAAGGCCAGCCTAGCCCGAGTCATCCTGGCAGCTTCCCGGGTCAATCAGCCCTATCTTAAGGGAGGCTCTGGATTTTGAAATTACATGTCTATGGCTCACCTTCCTCCTCCCCAGTCTGTAACAATCCGCAACATGCCAGGTGAAACTGGCTCCCTGCAGAGGGGACTCTTGAGTTTTCAAGCCACATGAGAACCACCCCTCCCAGGTTGAAACATAGGGACAGGCAGTTTTCTGTGTCCAGCAAGCTTCTTGGGATGGATATCCTACAGCATTTGAAGGGACAAACCCTGGGTAACTGGATGCTTCGAGGCTGTGAGGATGTGGCCTGTGTCAGCCCATGCAGTCCACCTTAAGCCTGAGCTCAGGCAAGACCCTTTCTGTGGTCAAGAGGGAATGTTTTGGCCCCGCTGATTACATGTGTCGGGAAGTTGCTTCGCGGCAGCCACTAGGGGGCAGCCACTACCGAGAAAGTTCTGGCTCGTCTGAGGTTCCCCTAGTAGCAGCTTGGAACTGGAGACCAGCTGTCCTGCCCTCCAAAGGCTGGCACCTCGCAATGTGGGCGGGAGGGGGCAGGTTGTGAAGAGAAGGGGAAGTAAGCTTCTTCAGGGACTACTAAGTGCTCTCTTGGTGATATCACCAAGTTCATAAAAGGGGGTCATTACTACCAAACAGGAGACATGGACTCTTGCTATGTATCAGCTGACCTTGGTCTTGAAGCCCAAGTAATAGTTTTTTAGCGCAATGACCTGGAGCTCCTGGCCCCCTGCTGTGTCCACCTTCAGAGTGCTGGGATTACCATCCTGCACCACTCCTTTGAGCCACTTGGCCTATTTTTAAGTTATGAAATATTTCAGGCATGTAAAGCAGTATTCAAAGCAGCCTTGCAAAGCTCCCCACCCATGGCTTTGAGGACACTTGCTACTCTGCAGAGACCTCAGTTCAGTTCCTAGCATCCATATCAGAAGGCTCACTATAGCTTCAGCTCTAGGGGATCCAATACCTGTGGCTTCAGGGACACCTACACTGTGCATACCCAAGAGCAAGACACACCTGCACAGAATGCCAGCTGGGCAGTGGTGGCAAGTGGGTCTAAGGAGTTCAAAGCCAGACTGGTCTGCAAACCAAAGTTCCAGGGCTACACAGAGAAAGGCCATCTTTGTCTCTACCCCCCCAAGTGGGGCTGGAGAGAACTCAGCAGTTAAGAGCAAGAGCATTGGCTGCTCTTAGAGGCGTATGGCAACTCACAGTTGTCTGGGATCTGGCTCTCTGACAGATAAATATACAAGCAAAGCATCTTTTTTTTTTTTTTGGTTTTTTGAAACAAGGTTTCTCTGTAGTTTTGGAGCCAGTCCTGGAACTAGCTCTGCCTCCTGAGTGCTGGGATTAAAGGCGTGAGGCAAACAAAGCATCTTAAATAGCTTTTAAAAAAATAGGAAAAAATATTATGCAATTGTAACTCAGTAGCAAAAACTTTGCCTGGCGCAAGAGAGGCCCAGAGTTCCATCCTAAACAGAACCAAACGTTGTAGGGAATAAAGACACTAAATACTACAGGGCTAGGCGTGGTGTCGCACACCTTTAACCCCAGCTCTCGGGAGGCAGAGGCAGGTGGATCTCTGTGTGAGGCCAGCCTGGTCTACAGAGTTAGTGCCAGGACAGACTCCAAGGCAACATAATGGGGGGGGGGGGGACTACAAAGTCAAAACCAGGTAATGGTGGCACATACTTTTAATCCCAGCACTCGGGAGGCAGAGACAGGTTGATCTCTGTAAATTCAAGACCAGCTTGATCTACAAAGTGAGTTTCAGGATGGGGAACTCCAAAGCTACAAAGAAAAACCCATTGGGGGGGGGGGAGTAAGAAAAAATAAGTTGTGTAAAACTATTTGAGTCCTTCCCCAACCCCAGTCCTCCTTTTCCCCCCAGAGGTGAAAGTCAAGGGTGTACGCGGCTGTCTTTATCACAGACCATTGTCCCCAAACAGCAGGCAGTGTCAACCCCAGTACCTACACTCGGGTTTTTCTCCCCATTTCTGACACTGACTTGACCGCTGCTCTGCGGCTTTCAGCTGCCCTATTGACCGTGCTACAGCATGTCCTTTCTCCTGCAAATGTACCTTGGAATTGTTTCACGATTGTTCAAGAAAAAAAAAACATCCTGCGATAAATGTGGTTTTTGTTTTGTTGATGTTCTAAGAATTGAACCTGGGACCTGACCAAAGCTACTAAGTGTTATTCTGGCCGGGCGATGGTGGCGCACGCCTTTAATCCCAGCACTCGGTTATTCTGCTCAGCTACCCCCAGTCGATTTCAAATTAGTTTCTCTCTCTCTCTCTCTCTCTCTCTCTTCTTTTTCTCTTTTTGTTTGGTTCTTTGGTTTTGCAAGACAGGGTTTCTTTTCTCTGTAGACAAAGCTGATCTCAAACTCAGAGATTCACCTGCCTCTGCCTCCCGAGAGCTGGGGTTAAAGGTGTAGGACCCAACCACGACAAGCTCACTAGAGGCCTGAGTCTCAGTAGTTTGTTTACCCTGAGGGCAATACTTGGTTCTGATAAAGACCACAAACTGAGACTACCCAGACACCACCCAGGAACAGACCATCCAAAAGAAATTCCTAACGTTCCAACCATTGTAGACAGGATCATACCTGCCTGCACACACCCATTGTTTTCACCAGGACACCCTAGACAAATGTCAGCCAATCAGGGATCCTAAACCTTAGAAATCCCTCAACCACCCCCACCTTTGTAGTGATTGGAGAGCTCGGGGCTCTCCAATCACTACAATACACTGGGCATATGGAGATACAAGCTTTATTCTTACTTGTGTAAGAATAAAGGTTCCTTGCCTTTACATACAGGACTTGGTCTCCTGGTTGGTTTTGTGGGGACTCCTGATCTGGGCATAACAAAAGGCATGTGCCACCACCACCCAGATCAAATTATTTTTCATTTTTTTTCTACTTGGGGAGGTATTTGTGTGTGTGTGTGTATGTGTGTGTGTGTGCGCGTGTGCGTGTGTGTACTACATGTGTGCATGAGCCCACATATTCTTCAGAAGAGGCTGGACCCTCTGAAACTGGATTTAACAATCGTAATCCACCACGTGAGTGTGGGGCGTGGAACTCAGGTTCTCAGCAGGAACTCTTTGTGCTCTTACACAGCTGAGCCAACTTGTCTCTCCAGCCTGGTTTGGGGTGTGTTTGTTTGTTGAGACAGGGTCTTGTGTAGCTCAGCTGGCCTGGCAATCTTAACGAACCTCACACCTCTGACCCCTTTTGTTATTTTAATTTGTTTTGTCTGAAGAGAGTCTGCAAGTCAGCAGCTTCGGTTGACCTGAAATTCACTCTGTAGACCAGGCTAGCCTAGAACTCACAGAGACCTGCCTGCCTCTGCCTCCCAAGTATTGGGATTAAAGGTGTGGGCTACGACTGCCTAGCTTGTTTTGATTTGGTTTGGTTTGTCTGAGATAGAGTCTGAGTCACTGGGTTACCTGGAACTTGCCTTTATCTGTCTCAGTCTCCCAAATTCTGGGATTATAGGCATATGCCAATACAGCTATTTTAATGATTTCTCTTGCCATGTCTTCACATAAGTGAAAACTGCCTAACTACTTAATTAGTATCTCAATCGCTCCATTTCCCTGGGTATAAACAGATTTTTTTTTTGTGGGCCATGACTGCCTAGCTTTAAAAAAATTTTAAAAGGATCTCCGAGTTTATGGCCAGCCTTGTCTACATAGTTCCAGAACAGCCAGGGATACAGAAAAAAACAAGTCTCAAAACAAGAAAGAAAGAAAGATTTTTAGTTTTTTTTATTTACTTAGTATTTATATGTATGATTACGAACCACCATGTGAATGCTAGGAATTGAACCTAGTTCATCAACAAGAGAAATGAGTACCCTTAATCACTGAGCTAACCAGTCCCTCACCTTTAAAACAAAACGAAAATAGGCTCACCTTGAGCTCAATATACTGGCTAACCTGGCTGACCAGTGAACTCTGTCACCCGCCCCCCCCCCCGCCCCCATCTGCCTGTTTCTTATGTAGCCCAGGCAAGCCTCTGAGTTACACATACCACAGCCTCCCAAAGGCTGGGATTGCGGGCGTGAACCAGCACGCCCTCAGCGGGTCCATTCCACCACAGACTGGACAGCACCGGGCAAGTGGTTGCTTCCCCTCACTGAGCCTCGGTTTCCTCCTCTGTAAAGTGGAGGATGATAGTCCACTTTGCCCTCCATGGCTGGGGTGTAGTTCAGTGGCGGAGCAGTCACCTGGCAGGCACGAGATCCCAGTTTTATCCCCAACGTCATGAAAGGAAAACCTGGCGTGGTGGATCACATCTGTAATAGCAATAGTGAGGAAAAGGCAGAGGATCGCGATCTCAGGGGTATCTTCAGTAGCTGGCTCAATTTCCAGCACCCAGACAGCGGCGGCAGTTCCATCTCCAAGGGATCTGCAGCCCTCTTCTGGTCTCCACAGGCACCAGGCACACACATGGCACGCATGCATACATACATAAAAGCAAACACATACATTAAATAAATAAAGCTTCGCTGATTAAAAAAATAAAAGGTGACTAAATAAACAACGACAAAAAGATTTTCACCGGCTTAGTGAATCCAAGGCCAGCCTCTCTTGAAAAAGAGAAAAGGTAGGTTTGGAAAGAAAAGGGTGGGGGGAGCAGACAGGTTTGCCCCAGTGTTAATGAGATCGGAAGCCAAAGCTGAGAATAGTAGCATGTGGACCTGCCTGCCTCCCCCAAGCTCCCAGGATCCTTCTGCAGGTTCAGCGGCCTGAACCAGCCTCTGCCCCACCCCAGCACTAGAGACTCAAGGGAATTGTGGCCGGCCCAGGTGCAGCACTGTTCCTCAGCACTCAGGGCCTGAAACACATGGCAAATAAGGGCCACTGGAGCCCATCTCCGTCCGGGGCCAAACAGGAAGTGAGGCGGAGTTTGGGGTGGAATCTGGTACCCGAGGGCTACTGCAACCCAGACTAATCAACCCACTGGTAGAAAATGTCAGAGGGTCTCGGAGTCCTGCCTCTTCTCCTTCTCTTCCTGGCGGAAGCCTGCCTAGGTAATGTGGCCAAAGGGAAGGTACTGACGTTGGGGGGCAGGGGTTTGAGGGGAGGAGTGGATAGTGAAGCCAGAAGCTGAGGGAAGCCAGACAGGTTGATGCATAGCGCACACCCTTTAAAGTAATACCAGAACTCAGGAGATTGAAGCAGGAGAGAAGAATTTGAGGCCAGCCTGGGCTACATAATGAATTCTATCCTATCATGGCTAGCCTGGGCAACTTACTGAGACCTATTCCGAAATAAAAGGAGCAACAACAGGGAACCGGCGGGGGGGGGGGGGGCTTTCTGTCTCAGATGGTTTGGAGGAGGCTCAGGAAAGTCCACTGTTAGGCCCAAGCCCACCATGCCCCACAACACAAAATCACATCTCCATAAGTCAGAATGAGGAACTGAAGTAAGTGTGGACTGAGGGAGGTGTCCCCGAGGGAAAGGGAGGGTGTGCCTCATCAGACTCCATTCCCCTCCCTCACCAAGTGTGACCACACTGACCAGGCTTTAAGAGGGGAAGGTCGGGCTGGAGAGATGGCTCAGAGGTTGAGACCACTGACTGTTCTTCCAGAGGTCCTGAGTTCAATTCCCAGCAACCATATGGTGGCTCACAACCATCTGTAATAAGATCTGGTGCCCTCTTCTGGTATGTGTATACATAATTAATAAAGAAATCTTTAAAAAAAAAAAAAAAAAAAAAAAAAAAAAAAAAAAAAAAAAAAAAAAAAAAAAAAAGAGGGGAAGGTCATCCACTCAAGTGACTGATGCTGGGAACCAGCCGAGAGTGGAGCGCTGCTGTCTGAGCCCATTACCATGAAGTTGCCCAGCTTCTTCTTCCTCCAGCTTTTCTTCTTCACTTCTGGCCTTCCTCTTTCCTGCTATGTTCAGGAAGGTGGCCACAAGCCAATGTGGTCCTGGGGAGGCTGATAACGGGGCTTTCAAGATAAACACAGAGTGGACACCCTGGCCACCAGTCCACCCTTGTCTCTCTGAGCTCCCTCCCCCCCCAGACAGAGTTCAGTCCCTGATCCCTAAGTTGACATTTAAATTGAGGAGGCAGAAACAGCCTAGGCACAAAAGGACAGATTCAGGGTGGCTGCAGGAGGGGAGTACCACCTCTTCCAATAGAGGGAGTGATGCTGGGCCCTGCTCACCCTGGGTCTACACTGGGCCCTCACCCCAGGGCTGGTGGAGGTTCCTAAGGGCTGGGAATAATGGCTCCCATTCCTTCCCATGAAGGGGAAGTCTCTGAGAGGGTTCAGGGAGTTCTCTGCAGCAGGACCCTGCTGGTGTTAGGAAAGTAAAATGCAATGGAGCAATGGTGGCAAGAAGCCACAAGGCAGCTCTCCCAGCATCTACTCTCTCTCTAGAGGTGTCATCACCATCAGGACCACTCCACTCCCAAGAGCACTGGTGTGAAGGGCTCTGGATCGGGGCAATCAGGGTCACCTCCAGTCTCTGTTCTCATCTCTCCACAGGCCCTGGATGCCAGGCCCTGAAGATAGACATTCCACCATCAGTGACAGTGAACGTGGGGGATGAGGCCCGCCTCGTCTGCAAGCACGATGGCAACAAACCTAATATCACATGGTGGTACGGTTTTGTGTACAACTCCAACATCTCCGTCTCCTCAGTGTTTATGGGTTCTGGTCAGGGGCTCAGAGGTGATGAGCTGGTCATCCCCAATGTAAACAAGAGCCACGGGGGCCTCTACAGATGCCACGCAGAAGAAAACGGCAAGAGAAAATTCTCCTGCGGCACCTACCTCCGAGTGCGTAGTGAGTAACAAGGGACACTGCCCCTCGGGTTCCCTGCTCCATCCAGAACACTGCTTGCATGCGTGCGAGCAGAACCAGTTCCCTCCTCCTGGACCTGAACTAGCAGCACACAGGTTCTCACCGGGCAGGATGGTGGCTTCAGGGCTCCCTGACCTCACAAGGGGCAGGGCTGGAAGAGGAGGGGACACTGAGACTCCCTGTCTTCACAGAGCCAGTCCCTAGACCCTTCCTGGACATGGGAGAAGGCACCAAGAACCGTATCATCACAGCCGAGGGCATTATCCTGCTGTTCTGTGCAGTAGTGCCAGGGACATTGCTACTATTCAGGGTGAGTCCTCCAAGTAACACCCCACAAGTCATCTGGGCTTGCCAGGCCTGGACTATGACTCCTAGTGTTTAGATCCTGAGGTTCCTACTCCAAAGTTTGGAAGACTGAGAGTACCAAGAAAATTGTGAGTGGTCCTGAGCTCCAGGGGTGTCACTGTGTCCCCACTGGCCCTCTCTAGATACCTTCTGCCTCTCCTCCTGCCCCACCTGAAGAGCAATCTCCTGCAAATGCAGCCAAGACCAGGGACAAAGGGGATCAGTGTCCCTCCAGAGCCTCTACTTCTCTCTAGGCCACAAGGCAACTTTTTTTTTAATGTTTTTAGATGAGGTTTCCCTGTGTAGCCCTGGCTGGCCTTGAGCTCACAGAAATCTGTCTAGGCCTCTCAATTTCTGCTGCTGGCATTAAAGGTGTGGGCCACCATGCCTGCCCTTCTTTATTTCTCATCTGTTTGTGTACATGGATAGTGGGTAGGAAAGTCTGGGCATGTGAGTGTGGGGGCACAAAGCAACTTTCTGGAGTCCCTTTATTCCTTCCACTTAGGATGCCCAGACCAAATTCATGTCCCTGGGTTTGCATGGCAACAGATTTACCAGCTGTGCATCTCCCAGACTTGTTTTTGCTTTCCTTTCCTTTCCTTTGTTTTGTTTTCAAGGAAGGGTTTTTCTGTGTAACAGCTCTGGCTGTCCTGGAACTCACAAAGATCCACCTGCCTCTGCCTCCCAAATGCTGTTTCTCTCTGTCTCTCTGTCTCTGTCTCTCTTTCTCGACAGATCTTGGTCCAGGCTAGCCTCAGACTTGTTCTCTCCATGGCTGGCCTGATTCTTCTCTCCACCTTCCAAGTACTGCCATTACAGGCATATGCTGCCACCACCAGTTTTCTTTCCTTTTTAGTGGGGAGGTAAAGAAGATGGGATCTTGCTAAGTAGTTCAGGCTGGGTCCGAACTCATTCTATAAATCATATTGGTCTGGAATTCATAATCCTCCTGCCTCAGCTTGCCAAGGACTGGGATTACAGATATTCACTGCCAGTTGCTGTTATACTGTCTTACTATTATACTCCTCAGCACTGGAGAACAGTAGCGGGCCAGCATGGTGGCATTAGACCTTTGATCCCAGCAGCACTCAGAAGGTAGAGGCAGGCAGATCTCTGGGAGTTCAAGGCCAGCCTGGTCCACCTAGTGAGTTCCCAGCAGCTAGTGCTAGATAGAAAGCCTGAGGAAGTTAGTGGAATGTAGTGGCAAACACATCCAGCACTCCTTGGAAGGTGATGCAGAGAACCCCTAAGGAGAAAGAGAGGAGAGGATCAGAGAACAGTATCTGCCAAGATCCCAATATGTGGGCTTGGGCATGATTTATTTATTTATTATGTATACAGTATTCTGTCTGCATGTATGCCTGCAGGCCAGAAGAGGGCGCCAGACCTCATTACAGATGGTTGTGAGCCACCATGTGGTTGCTGGGAGTTGAACTGAGGACCTCTGGAAGAGCAGCCAGTGCTCTTAACCTCTGAGCCATCTCGCCATCCCCCTGTCCATTCATCTTTCTGATAAAGCACTTGCTTGTATGTGAGGGTCTGAAAAACCCTTCACCTCCCCCTTCCTCACTGAGGCTAATCCTCACCTACAGAAACGGTGGCAGAACGAGAAGTTTGGTGTGGACATGCCAGATGACTATGAAGATGAAAATCTTTATGAGGTGGGCACTGGATGGGGTGGTGCTGAAGAGGGGGCCGGTGTACAGGGAGGGGGGTCTGCAGTGGGAACTCTGGGGTTGACTGGGAACAGGGACTGCAGCTGCCAGGGTACTGATATCTACCCTATACTTTGCAGGGCCTGAATCTTGATGACTGCTCTATGTATGAGGACATCTCCAGGGGACTCCAGGGCACCTACCAGGATGTGGGCAGTCTCCACATTGGAGATGTCCAGCTAGAAAAGCCGTGACTGACATCCCCCATCCTGCTGTGCTGTCTGTCCCCACCTGCCATATCCCTGCCTCACCTCTCTTGCCCTGCAGTCTCCCCTTCCCAGTCTTTTTTTTTTTTTTTTTTTTTTTTTTTTTTTTGGTTTTTCGAGACAGGGTTTCTCTGTGGCTTTGGAGCCTGTCCTGGAATTAGCTCTGTAGACCAGGCTGGCCTCGAACTCACAGAGATCCGCCTACCTCTGCCTCCCGAGTGCTGGGATTAAAGGCGTGCGCCACCACCGCCCGGCATTTTTTTTTTTTTTTTTTTTTTTGTCCCCTTCCCAGTCTTTGTCCCTCCAGAGTGTCCCACCCTTGCCTCCAGACTACCCCACCCTACTCTCCCACCTGATCTTGTCCTTCCCCAAGTCTGTCCCGGGTTCCCTCTCCAGTGGGTAATGAGCCCTTAATCGCCGCCTCTAGGGGAGCTGATTACAGCAGCCTCGTTAGTGTCACCCCCTCCTCCCAGATCTGTCATGGCCACTTAAGTGCTAATAAATCCTTCCTAAAGCAGCCCTTGGCAGGAGTCGTGGATCTCATGAGGACTGTTCCTCCACAGTGCCAGGCGACCAGAAGCCAGAAGCCCAAGTTCCCTTCCTCCCTCAGACCTAAGTTCTCACCTGCCCACTTCTGACATCTAGGACTAGACAGTCAGTCTTGCCCCCCAACCCCCATCCCTCCAAGAAACAGGAAGTCTCTTGGGGAAGTCCCCACCCCAAATGAAGGGCTGGTTTAGCTTTTTTTATAGGGCCTCACCCTCCCCTATGTCCCTAAGAAAGGGGGAGCCAGGGGGGATGTTACCAAATTATTATGCATATTTAAGCTCTGAAAACACGAGGTATTATTTCCTGGGGGTCGGACCTAATTCCCTCGTGGGTGCATTTGTCTAGGCAGATCTGTGTTTCTGTCAAGATCCTGGAGATGGTGGAGAGATGCACACTGGTGTGACCCAGTAGCACTAACATGGGAAGAGCAGATGCAGAAAGGCAGTGAAGGGCAGAAGTGAAGCAAACAGGAAACACGGGAAACCCCAGAGACAGGGACACAAAGTTAGAAGGCGAGGCGAGAAGCAGACTCGAGCTGGCTGTCCAGTGAGCACAGCCTAAGGCATAACAACAGTTGGGGAAAGGACAAAGCCTATGGTCTGGGAGGATGAAAGAGACCCAGCGGCAAGAAAAGGACGCACAGTGATAAAAAGGAGCAGAAAGGCTGTAGTGGGGTGAAGAAGCAGAGGCCGGGGAGGAAGATAGCTTCCGGGGAAAGTGCTGGGTCGAGAGTGTGGGGCTCAAAGAGAGTGGAGCTTTGACGTGGTGGCGCACGCCTTTAACTTTAACCTCTACGATCCGGAGGCAGAGACAGGAGGAACTCTGTGGTTTACGGAACGAGTTCAAGGCCAGCCAGGGCTACCCAGTAAGTTCTTGTCACAAACTAAGATGAGAATGAGAAGAGGAAGGGCCAGAGCAGGAGCTGGGCAGCAGCAGGGCAGAAGATAGCAGAGGAGGACAAAGGCGAAGAAGGGGAGCCGGGCGGGGCCGGGTGGGGCCGCACCCGCGGGGAAAGGAGGAGCTGGGCGAGCGAGTGAGAAGGGGAAGGAAGCCGAGGTGCCGGGCGGGCACGGGGCGCCGGCAGGAAGCGGGGAGGGGCGGCGGGCGGGGGCTCCGGAAAAACGCCCCGACTTCCTGCCCGCAGGAGCCAGGAAGCCGGAGCCGGGACGCCGGGCCCGGGATCGCCGAGCCCGACCTCGGGCGCCCCGCTGGTCACCTCCCCGCGCGGACACCAGGTACATCATCCCTGGCCCCGCCCGGCCTCCTCCCCCTCGGCAGCCGGGGGAGAAATAGGGAGGAGCAGGGAGGGGACCCGGCGCCAAGGGCCTCGAAGGTGGGGGGCAGTGAGCCTGCAAGCCTCCCTTCCTCGGGCCTATTTTCTCATCTGTCAAAGAGAGCAAAGAGAAAACCCGGCGTGGTGGCGCTCGCCTGTCATCCCAGAACTTGGGAAACAGAGGCAGGAAGATTGCCCTGAGTTCGAGGCCAGCCTGGGCAACCTAACGTGACCCTGCCTCAGAAAGAAAAACAATACCAAAAAGAGAGAGAAGGGGTGGGGGGCATTTGCCGAGTGCACAGCAGAGAGAGAGATGAAATAGTTTGGGACCCAGATTACCCACTGTTAGCGCAGCTCAGAATGATAACACCCATTTACCAGTTGAGAATCTGAGGTTCGAGGAGTCGGACCTCCTCGTCGTAGAGATCATGGATGCTTAATTAGAGGTACCTAAAATAAACAGTGTCTCTGCGGGCCATTATGAAGCTGAGAGTTACGGATCGTTGAAAACGTCTCAGAAAGCTTTTTTTTTTTCTGGGTTATTAATTATATACTCTGGGAGATGGTTGTAGAGGAGAGAGCCGGAAACATCCGCACTGAACAGATGGGAAGACTGGGTCCTAAAGGGAAGCCATTGCTTTTTGCAGGTTAATCTGTCGGGAGGGAGGAAAGATATACTCAAGCTCATGGGTGTTTTTGTTTTGTTTTGCTTTGCTTCCCAAGTACAGCGGGAGGATTTGACAGGGGTGACAGAGGGAGCGGGTATACAGAGTTGGGAAATTAGCAGGTCCGAAATGGGGAGGTAGACAAGGTGGGAAGACCTCACACCTGAGCAACTTGGAGATCCGAGATTGAGCGTTAACCAGGCGCTGGAACCATCCACCACTCCCGCAAAGGGGGTGGGGCCCGGGAGAGTGACAGGGGCAGTCGAGATACGGAAACGCGGGCCCTCCAAGACGGGCCAGAGTGGCTCTATCGGGCCAGCGTGGCGCCGTGGAGAGATAGAGCGGCCGGCAGGAGGAGTAGAGTTGCAGAGGCCGGAGAGTGGCAGGAGGCGGGCTAGAGCGGCCAGAGGGAGGAGTGGAGCTGGACTCAAAGGTGGCCTCTGGCTCGGCTAGAGCGACTCTGTGGCGCGGGTGGGGGAACCTTGAGCTCAGGCGCGGAGGCTTCGGTTCCGGAGGCTGCAGTCGCTTCTCATCCCATCCGACAGGTGAGATCCGCAGCCTTGGCTGCTATCAAACCTGACCCTGCACGTCTTCCCTGCCGTCCATACTGTCACAATCGCTGTAGTACTGAGCGCCCGTGTAAATTAGCCACGTCCGGTGTAAGATTTAGGGCTCGTGAAGACCGCCACGTTACATAGGTTATAAGATCTTACATACCTTCCAGGTTTCAGGAAGCCTTTCACGGAAACCCGACTTTTAATAAACACGGGCTTCTCCTAGATCAAATCAGGGCCCTACAAAACTCAGCACACACCCCTATCGAGGTCCCATAAACCTTTAAAATCATGTATCTGGTTTCCTGAGGCCCACTCTATCAAATAGATTCTTGGGTCTTATACATTCCAGAGGCCTCGTTTAGGTTTTTCCTAGAGGTTCTTGGAGACCTGAACAATCCAATCGAAAGACTTGGGGACCCTGAGCTCTTAAAACCCAGGCGCCCTTATGTTCTTACTTCTCCAGACCCCCACTGCATAAACCTAAACCTGCCCTTGCCCCCCCCCTCCCAGCCCTAAGTGCAAAGTGCTCCATCTGCCGGACAAAGGAGACTTTGTCAGTTGTCTCATTTTTTCCGGCTTTACCTGTCTCCTAAATTTCAAACCCACCCTCTCCAAGCCCAGGCTTCTGGAGCTGCTGGGTCCATCCCGGGTGACTGCTGAGACCACAGCAGCCCCGTGACTTCCCCAGGCACCATTAGACCTGCTGTGTCTCAGAGCATTGATGCAGATTTTAGCGTCCTAAGGTTGATGTGTTTGTGTTTGGGGGGGGGGGGTGCCTCGAAGCAGTACAGTGTAGCCAGGAGATGGTGGCACACACCTTTAATCCCAGCACTGGGGAGGCGGAGGCAGGTGGATCTCTGTGCATTCGAGACCAGCCTGGTCTACAGAGTGAGTTCCAGGATAGGCTCCAAAGCTACACAGAGAAACCCTGTCTCAGAAAAACAAAACAAAACAAGTTGTATAGTGTGCTAAATGTTTAAAATGTGAAGCCAGACCGCCTGAATCTAAATGCTGACTCTTCCGCTTATAAGAATGCCATGCTTCAATTTCCACCTCTGTAAAATGGCAATAAGAAGAATAGTGAGCCAGATAAATAAAAATAATGCTGGCCTCATTGGGTCAGTGAGATTAAACGCATGAGCACCTGTCGACAGAGCCTGAGCCCTGCGTGGAACCGAGGTGTGTGTGTGTGCCAGCACTGCTGTGTCTGTAACCCACTGAGAAACCTCGGAAGTCAGCTAGTCCATGCTATTGTGATGAGGAACACGGAGATAGCACGTGGTAGCTGTGTGGGAATCAGGTCTAGCAGTGGACGTTTGTTCAAACTGTGTGCCTTCCTTGGCCTCTTTTTTGGGGGAGATGAGTTAATAAAGACTTAAGCATGAGATGGTAAGGGGTCATTTGAAAGACACATGGTGGCACACATCTTTGATCCCAGCACTGGGGAGGCAGAGACAGGCGGGTCTCTGAGTTTAAGGCTTGTTACACAGAGAAACTCTTGTCTCAGAAAAGAAAGGAAGGAAGGGAAAAAGAAAAGAAAAGGAAGGAAGAAAGAGAGAAGATGAGTATAGGTCTAAGAGAAATGGGTTTGGTTGATTTGGTTACTCTGTTTGGTGCTTCTGGAGGTAGAACTAAAGGCTTCTTAGATGCCAAACAAGCATTGTCATTGAGCTGTACACTAAAACCCTCCTTGGCCCTTTGGGATCTCTCAGTTGAAGATATTTACTGCTAAGTGTGGGAGTTCCAGGTCTGTGCTCATTGCTTCTGGCCTAGAAGGTCTGGCTGACGTGGATGGTCTTTGAAGCCATCACAGTTTCTCAGAGGGGTGAGCATAGCATGGGACGCTTGTAGTTGGGGAGGTAATGGAACTGATAGAGCTGGACATGGTGCTTCGTACCTATAATACCAGAAACTGAGAGACCAAGACAGGAGGATGGCCTCAAGTCTGACCAGTCTTCAGAGTGAGATCCCCCGTCTTGAAGGAAAGAAAACAAAACTGAGTTAATACATGCCTGGAATGCCAGGCAGTGGTGGTGCACACTTTTAATCTCAGCACTCTGGAGACAGGCAGGTGGAGCTCTGTGAGTTCAAGGCCAGCCTGGTCTACAGAGCGAGTTCCAGGACAGGCTCCAAAGCTACAGGGGAACCCTGTCTCAGAAATAAATAAATAAATAACCAGTATATGCCTGAACAACTTAAATGCCTGGTGAGTTTAGCTCTCATAATAATTACTAATACTTTGCTATCTTGGTTTGCAAGTTTATTTATTAAACACTCAACAATGTTCAAATCTTGAAATTAGCCAAGCTTTTAACGTGGGCAGATACAGTTTCTGAGAACGGATACAAATGATGCCTGCTTGGGCGAACCCCCAAGGATTACTCCTGGGCGCTCCAGGAAGCATCACTGTTCAGAAACCAGAATCACAGCTATGGCTTATTGAGTGCTAGGGAGGAGGCTCCTGGAAGAGGGAGAAGGGCGGGTCTCAGGCAGCCAGAGTTATAAATAGCTTGGGGTGTGGGGACCCACCCCCCACTCGTCCACCCCACCCCTCTTTCCACAGTTCCTTCCCTGACACCGATCCACACAGCACTAGTCAGACCAGTTAGGGCCTAGAAGATCCTGCTGGAAGGACCCAGGGAGAAGATGGGAAAGACAAACCGAGATGGGGCAGACAAGGGATGGAGAAAGATGAGACACCACAGTGTGGGGCTGGAGCTGGACCGACACCAGCCATGGAAGAACAGCTGTACTGGGATGAGGGAGGAGACATAGGGAGCCAGAGGAGGGGCAGGCAGAAATGGGAAGGAGGGGACAGGTCCGGGAGGAGAGGTGGAGACAGGGACTCCAGGGAGCCACTACCACATTGGATTGAAGGGGAAGGCACCCACCTCCCATCTTTTCTCGGGGACAATAGCTGTGAAAGCTGGGAACCGCTGTGCTCAAAGAGCTCAAGGGCCTTACAGAAAAGGGCTCAGTTTTGTTTTCTTGCGTAGAGGGTGTTGGAGGTTGGGGGTTCACCGTTGTCACTTCCTGTCACAGGAAATGGGGCTGGTGGGTTCAGAGGCAATATCCTGGCTCAGGCCTGCCACAGATCAGAGGATAGCCTCCCCCCCCCCGCCCCGCCCCGCCTTACTTTTCCTACACTCTCCTTAAGGACCTTTACATTAATTTTGCTTGTTTCAAAGTCCTGCCCCTTTAGGGACTAGCCAGCCCCCTTGGTCGCTGGTTCTTCCTTCTTTCGTGACCCAAATTGGTGGCTTTTACCCACAGCCGCCCCGCCCACCCATGGACCCATGGTCTGGGCTCTAGCACCCGCCCCCCCCCCCCAGCTCTCTGCCCTCGGTTTCCCCGCCTCAACTGGCCTGTGAAGGGCTCTTTGTGGCCACACAGAGGCTCCATTGAGCTGAGGCGGCTGGGGGGGGGGGGGGGGGCTGTTTACTCACCTTCCGCACCTGGGCCAGGAATCAGTGAGTAACTGCCCAGCCTCAGGCACTTCCTCCCGCCAGCCCCCTAACCGCTGCTCCTCCTCCTCTCACAGCCCTGTGGAGGAGTCCGGGAGATGGGAGAAGTCGCTGCTGCCGGAGGGGCGGTGAGTGCAGTGCCAGGAGGAGAGCTGATCTAAGGTGAGGGGACTCTGGTGCTCTGTGAGGTGGGGAGCCCTGGGGATTGAAGTCCTGTCTCTCCTTGCAGGCCCCAGGGCCTCCCCGGCCTGGCGTGATGCCCGTCAGTATCATCGGAGCTGAGGATGAAGACTTTGAGAATGAGCTGGAGGCGGTGAGCAGGATAGGGTGGGAAAGTCCTCCATCCTTTGAGGTGTTCACTCTCGCCTGTCATTCTGTCATCTCCCAACTCCTACCCTTACTCCTTTAGCCCCAACTTATCACTAACCCCCCAGTATGACTCCCATCTCTTCTTCCCAGCTACCTGCCCTTACTGTCAGGGTTGTAGCGTAGACATATCCACCCACGCTTCCCAAGATCTTCCCTGTCTTGGAGCCATTGAGAAGTGCCAGGGACTGGGTAGGGCAAGCCAGAGAGGCCTCTTCTTTCCCTGTGGCACTCAGCTCCCTTGTCTCCACCCTCCAGAACTCAGAAGATCAAAACAGCCAGTTCCAGAGCCTGGAGCAGGTAAAGCGACGCCCGGCCCATCTCATGGCCCTCCTGCAGCATGTGGCCCTGCAGTTTGAGCCAGGACCCCTGGTAAGGATGCAGGAAGGAGTATGGGGGACAGAGGAGGAATGAGGTTGAGCAGATTAGACTTTCAGAGAGCTGACTAGACCAGTGAGGATCAGCCAAGAGACTCCGGAAAATCCAGAACACAGCACGAGTTTGAGAAATAGGACCGCAGACAAGATGGAGAAAGTCGGCATGTGATCTGTACCAGGCTTGCAGATGCCCCTGTGAGCCTCAGAAAGCAGTGAACCAAGGCCTAAGTACATACACTAGGAGTCATTGGAACCCAACATCCTGGCAGAAACCATGTTCAGTCCTCTTCCAGGCCTGTAACAGCATCTGCGATTGGTAACCCTGCCGCTTACCCAGGGGGACTCGGAGGGGCACCCAACAAGGCTTTCTCAGCTAGTGTCACTAGTCAGGCATTCAGGATTTGGTGCCATTAGCCAATTCAGACCTGGAGGGCACCACAGACGTTGTTCAGATACCTAGGCAAACCCCATGTGGTTGCTAACCTAGAAACTTCCTGAGCTTAGCCTGACACCTGTGATCCTAGCATGTGGAAAACTGAGGCAGGAGGACTGCCATACGTTCATGATCAACTGAGGCAAGACCTGGCTTCAAATAGAAGAAACTCTCAGGGCTAGGCAGAAGATACTGGGAGATGCAGATATAGAGCCATGTGGTCCAGAAACACCTATAGAGTAGAAAACTTCAGCCCCCTGATTTAGCAAGAAGCTACAGCACTGGTGGGAGTGGGTGGGAGAGGTTAGATCCTTTCCTAAGAAGACTCAGTAGCACCCAGCACAAGCCACTTGCCAGGAGGTGACCCAGGACACTGCACTACATGAAGATATACCTTGACTCCCCCAGAAAACTAAGAGACTAAAAGAAATGAAGGGCTGGGACACCCACAGGTGAAGAGAGAAGGGCGTGCTGGATGTAGCTCAGTTGGTAGAATACATGGCTAGGAGGCACAAAGCCCTGGGTTTGAGCCTCAGCATCACATAACAAACATAGTGACCTGGGCCTGTAACCCCAGCTCTCAACAAGAGAAGGGAGAAGGATCAAGAGTTTAAGGTTGGTCTGGAGAGACAGCACAGGCTGCTCTTCCAGAGGACCTGGGTTCAATTCCCAGCAGTCATGTGGTGGCTCACAACTGTCTACAACTCCAGTTCCAGGGGCTCTGACACCCTCACCCCAATGTACATGAAATAAAATAAATTATTAAAAAAAAAAAAAGTTCAAGGTCATCCTTAGCTACATAGCAAGTCTACTAGGCTACATGAGACCTTGACTCAAGAAAAAAGACATGAACTGCAAGGCTGGGCTAGTTGTCCTGATGCCACGCTTTAGAAAATTGAGAAACTGATGCAATCTTCCCACCTACATCCTTCAGAAAAGCATGCTAACTGCTCTGTTCTACTGATGTGGAAACCGAGGTGACCCAGATGGCTTCTGGCTTTGTGAGCGTTGTCTTTATGCAGCTTCTGCACCCCACCATATTTTGGGGATGGGGATGAGAATAGACATTGATCTGTTGAAACCAATAAATATAAAAAGTTCTGCCTGCACTGGAGTGAGTCCTCAAGCACACGTCACCTGCCAGGCAGCAGCTATGGGAGCCAGGACCGGCAGAGTCCTGCATTTCCAGGGTCGCCCTCCAAGGCTGGCACACAGGCAACCTCACTGCACCTGGTCTGAGCACACAGGAATCGGAACCCACTCTGCACCCAACCAGACTTGCTCACAGTATTTCTAGACAGAGACAAGCTGCCTGCCTTTGAATCCAACTTTGCCATGGGACATTGAGCAGGCCTATATCTTTATTGTTATTAAGTACTTAACCCAGGCCTTAGCCATGCTAGGCAAGTACTCTGCCACTGAGCTATATCCCAACCCTCATTATTTTTGTTTTAACATTTTAATGTATTATGTGATATATGTATATGCTCATGTGGTACATGTATGTGTCATGTGTGGAGGCCAGTGGTCAATGCTGGGTGTCTTTCCTTTCTCTACTTTGTATTCTTTCCGTTTTTTAAATTGTATACTTAATTTTTATTTATTTGTTTGTTTTGCGTTTTGTTGTTATTTTGTTTTTCCAAGACAGGGTTTCTCTGTCCTGGAACTTGGTCAGGCTGACCTCAAACTCACAGAGATCCTCCTGCCTCTACCTTCCAAGGGCTGGGATTAAAGGCATGCGCCACCACCGCCTGGCTTGCTACATTATTGTTTTTTTTAAAAAAAGATTTATTTATTATATATACAACATTCTGCCTCCATGCATGCCCGCATGCCAGAGGAGGGCACCAGATCTCAGATGGTTGTGAGCCACCATGTGGTTGCTGGGAATTGAACTCAGGACCTCTGGAAGAGCAGCCAGTGCTCTTAACCACTGAGCCATCTCTCCAGCCCTTGCTACATTATTTTTAAGACAAGGGTCTCATGATCAGGGAGCTCATCTGACCGAGCCGTGAGCTCCAGGCACAGGCTGCCAGGCTTAGTTTTAATGGGAGCTGGAGCTGCAGACTTGGGTGCTCATGATGCCCATGGTGCCTGTGCTTTCCCTTCCGAACCCTCTTGTAGTCCCTCCTTTGGTTTGCTCAAGCCCAGGCTGGCTTTGAACCCACAGTGGTCCTCCTGCTTCTGTTTCCAGAACATTGGGGTGTGCCGGTGATGCTGGCTTTACCTTGTAGTTTGAGGTGGTTTTCTCTCCTTGTGGTGGTTTATTTTTTGAGACAGAGACCTTGAACTCCTGGTCTTCCTTCCTGAACTCTCCAGGCTGGGATTGCAGGCCTGTGCCAAGACTCTCAGCTTGAACTCCCATTTTCCCACAGCTTTTTAGAGGCAGCAGAGTCTGTAGCCTAGCCTGGCCTCACACTCACTGTGTGCTCAAGGATGACCTTACACTCCCGATCCTCCTGCTTCTACCTGGAAAGTGATAGGATTATAGTCGTGCACCACTGTCCCTGGTTCAGTGTTCCCTGCAAAGTGTGATAGTGATAGTCTCTGATGGGGTAGGTTCTTGAATGTGTATGAAGGGCTCAGAATGGCCTCTGGGTACACCAGATTCTCAGACTAGCTGGCTAGTAAGAATTGCAAAGGAAAAGCGACGCTGTGGAGTTGGCGTTTGGGGTAGAGAAGTTAGGGTGTACTTCACGGGGGGGGGGGGGGTCATGTTTAGACCCCACAGACATCCAGTGGTCAGAAAACCACTTAGGCTCTCCAAAGGGGGCATGTGATTAGTGGGGCCAGGAAAGAGTCACACTCCGTCTGTCCCCAGCTCTGCTGCCTGCATGCGGACATGCTGAGCTCACTGGGCCCCAAAGAAGCCAAGAAGGCCTTCCTCGACTTCTATCACAGCTTCCTGGAGAAGACTGCGGTAAGAGGCACCTTCTGCCACCCATCCCTTACTCCTTTTTAGCTCTGGGGAGTTACAGTGCACCTCCCAGTGTCCACCTGTGGAGGTGACTGCCAACCCTGGCCCTCCCCAGTGTCATCCCTCAGACCCTTCCCACCAAGGCCTCCTGAGGTGTATCTCCTGCCACTCACTCCTGTCTCCTCTGAGCAGGTTCTGCGGGTGCCAGTTCCTCCCAACGTCGCTTTTGAACTTGGTAAGGAGAGGAGGGGTCTGGGGCTAAGGAGGATCTCTGGTAGAGATTTGCCTCCCAGGAGAGTCTTGGGTTGGAAGCCATGATTCCTGCATTTGTTCTTGGTGGTGGCAGCCCAGGGAAACATTGGAATCCGTGGGCGGGTGGGAACACTGATCCAAGGTGGGAGCCAGGCCCCCTTGAACATGAACACCAGCCCTTGCATACATATCTGTAGACCGCACGCGGCCTGACCTCATCTCTGAGGATGTCCAGAGGCGGTTCATGCAAGAAGTGGTGCAGAGCCAGCAGGCAGCCGTGAGCCGCCAGCTGGAGGACTTCCGCTCCAAGCGTCTCATGGGCATGACGCCCTGGGAACAGGAGCTGAGCCTGCTGGAACCATGGATCGGGAAAGACCGCAGCAACTACGAGGCCCGGGAGCGGCACGTCGCAGAGCGGCTACTCTCCCACCTGGAAGAGATGCAGTGAGTGGCCGTGGAGTCCCGCCCCGCCTGCGTCTCCCTCGCTGTCAGCCTTAGTGTTTCTATTCTCGTACCACAAGAATAGCCTAACTCATAGAACTTTGGGGTTCTATTGAACTGGGTCTTGTCCATGGTCACATGTTCCGACCTAGCACTTGTCCTCTGGACTGGACCTTCCAAGCCCTCCTAATCCACTTCCCTTCTTCTCCTCACCCTGTTTATTAAAGAGATAGCAGCCTGGAAGTGTGCCCTGGTGCACAAGGAAGCCAGGCTTCATGGTTTTATTGTAAGTTTCTTCTCTTTGCAGACATACCATCTCTACAGATGAAGAAAAGAGGTGATGGCCCTGGAGAGTGTTGGAAGAGAATGGTGGATGGTCTGGGCTGTGGGGAGCTGTGCTCCCTGGAGCACCACCCTTGCTCCTGGCTTTGGGAGCCACCCCTTTCCTCTAACCACAGGAAGTGGCTAAGGGGTTGTGGGGGACTGTGTCTTTGTCTCTGAGGACTAGTGTGCTCCTGTCTGTCTGTAACTGGGGCCTCACCTCACTGTCTCGCCCTCAGTGCCGCTGTGGTCACTGCCATCAGCCTGTACATGCGCCACCTTGGAGTTCGGACCAAGAGTGGGGACAAGAAGTCAGGGAGGAACTTCTTCCGGAAAAAGGTGCTGAGGTCAAGTCTGGCCCTCTCCTCTTTGAGTTGCCCCTGGGGAAGCCTAGAGACTGAACACCTGGAGTCCTTTTCTGCTTTGTATCATTTTGGAAATGTTAGCCTTCCCTTTCCTTCTCTTCCCACAGGTGATGGGTAATCGGCGGTCAGATGAACCCCCCAAGTCAAAGAAAGGGCTGAGCAGTATCCTAGACCCTGCTCGTTGGAACCGGGGAGAACCACCTGGTAAGAGGGCTAGCCTAAGCCTTGCATGTTCTGTTTGTCCAAGCCATTCCAGCTCACTGTCCCATTCTTTTGTTTCAGCTCCAGATTTTCGACATCTAAAGGTCGAGGTTGATGGTAATGGACTCGTAGCTAGGGTATCCATCGTAGATCTGAGGGAGGAGGTTTGGGCCTGTACCCCTGGGTCTGAGGGAGGAGGGCTGGGTCTGGAACCCTGGGTCTGAGGGAGGAGGGCTGGGGCTGGATCGGTAGGTCTGAGGGAGGAGGTCTGAGGCTGGATCCCTGGGTCTGTGGGAGGAGGGCTGGTGCTGGACCCCTGTGTCTGAGGGAGGAGGGCTGGGGCTGGATCCCTGGGTCTGTAGGAGGAGGGCTGGTGCTGGAACCCTGTGTCTGAGGGAGGAGGCTGGGGCTGGACCTCTGTGTCTGAGGGAGAAGATTGTTTGTAGGGAGTCCCTGAACCTTGAGCAGGAAAGGAGGATCTCCTGTTACTAAGAAGGCTAAGAACACAGTGTCTTGGTTCCCCTGGGGTATGGTAGCAGAAGGAACTTGAAGCCTCTATTTTTTTTTTAATTTCCCCTTCTTCCTTGCTGTCTCCCCAGGTGAGAAGCCAGGCCCTACAGACCGGAAGGGAGGCCTGGGTATGCCTTCCCGGGACAGGACTGTTGGGACTCCTGGGCAGGACAACCCAGGAGTCTCTCTGCACCCTCTGTCTGTGGACAGCTCCGACCACCGGGAACCTGGTGAGCATTTCAGAGTCGGGACAGGAATGGCACCAGCCCCTCAGCCCTCACTCAGATGGAAGCCACTGTCTCCATTAGGAATCTCTCCTTTGTTTGTAGCATCTTTTTCCAGTTCCTGGTCAGGAGTAGTGATTTCCCCCTACCTCAGTTTACCCTTTCCACAGCTTTCTTCTTGGGTTCTGACTTCTGTCCCAGCATGTGTCTCCTCACCCCGAACTAGGTTTCTTGTTTTGTTGTTTTGGGGGTTTTCAGCACTGGGGATTGAAACTTTTCCCTTACTCCTGCTAGGCAAGCCTTCTGCCCCTGAGCCGCAGCCCTAACCCTCACTGGTGGGTCCTAGCCAAGTGCTGTGCCATTGAACCTTATCCCTCCAGGCCCTGCAATCAGACTGTCTCCTGGGAAGGGCTGTCCCAGTGCACAGTCAGGGTAGACCTCGCCACGCATCAGAGGCCTTCCAGCCAGCTGTTTCTCCTCTACCCATAGGTGGGGATACCCCCCAGGAACTGGGGGACATACTCCCACAAGGCCCTACAAGCCTGGAACCCCTGGCAGCCCCAGAGAGCACCGAAGAGAATGCAGAGACAGAGAGGTATCCACCTGTGGTGCTGGGAGGGCCTGGGCAGAGAAGGGGCAGCATAGTGGGACCAGGGCGTGTGCCTGAGATTGCTGCTGCAGTTTGCGCCTGCTGGCCCCTCATCTGCCTATCTCTGGGCCTTCCTTCCATCTTTGCTTTCTCCTCCCTTCTTTTCCCCTTCTCCTTCTCCCTTGTTCTATGTTGCTCTCCCCTTTCTCTTTTTCTTTATTTTCTTTCTCTTTTTCTTTATTTTCTCTTTCTCTTTTTATTTTCTCTTTCTTTTTCTTTATTTTCTCTTTCTCTTTAGCTTCTCTCTCTCTCCCTCTCTCTCATTCTTTCTCTCCTCTTTCTCTTCTCCTTCCCCTTCTCTTGTGGCCTTCCCTCTGGCCAGGTTTTCTTCCCCTCCTCTCCCCCTCCATCTTCTCTCACCTGTTCATTCTCCATCCTCCCCGTCTTCTCAATAAGCTCTGCCTCCCTCATGGCCCTGCTCCTGGTGTCCCTTGCCCCTTTGTGCTCCATGCTGTGTTCTGGGGGCCTTGTCCCCCTCACAGTTGGGGGGCAGGCTCTGCCCCCTGCCCGTCCTTGTGCTGCTGCTTTGGGGACCCCTTGGTGGGGCTAGGGAGTTGGGTTGGGGCACACCTGGTCCACCTCTGACCTTGTGCCCTCTCTCCCCAGAAGGTGGAAGAGGTGGGTGCCTGGGCCCTGGGTGGGGGGAGGACCAGCCCTCCCCCATCTCTCCCAGCCCCTCCCCCTACCCATGGCCACCTCCTCCCCTTCACCCCCTGTGAGGGGAGAGGTGGGTAGGTACGTCACCTTCCCGATTGAGCTAAGTATGGAACTCCTTTCTCCTTGTCCCTCTTCCCCACCTCCACCTTAGGGAAGGGAGGGGGTCAGTCCTGTGGGCCACAGTTGGTTTCCATCCCCTGCCCCATCAAGTTTTATTACCCTTCCTGGCCACTCCCACTCCTGGATACTTCCCCAAGTCCCACGACTTCTGACTCTCTTCTCTCTTCTGTTGCTTGTTTCATCCCTGTCCTGGTCTCCCCTGTCCCTGTCTGTCCTGGTCTCCCCTGCCCCCTGTCTCTGTCCTGGTCTCCCCTGTCCCTGTCTGTCCTGGTCTCCCCTGTCCCTGTCTGTGTCCTGGTCTCCCCTGTCCCTGTCTGTCCTGGTCTCCCCTCTCTGTGTCCTGGTCTGTCCTGTCCCTGTCTGTGTCCTGGTCTCCCCTGTCCCTGTCTGTGTCCTGGTCTCCCCTGTCCATGTCTGTGTCCTGGTCTGTCCTGTCCCTGTCCTGGTCTCCCCTGTCCCTGTCCTGGTCTCCCCTGTCTCTGTCCTGGTCTCCCCTGTCCCTGTCCTGGTCTTACCTGTCCCTGTCTGTGTCCTGGTCTGTCCTGTCCCTGTCCTGGTCTGTCCTGTCCCTGTCCTGGTCTCTTCTTGTTTCTGCCCTGGCCTCTGCCTGACTCTGTCCTTGGCCTCGGGGTCCAGGCTATCAGGGCGTCTGGGGCGCTCAGAGAGCCTGCGGGTGAGTGACCGCCGCCGGCCTTCCCGGGGCAGCCTCGGGGCTAAGGGCCGGGGTGGGGGCCGCTCCCGGAGCGACGTGGACATGGACCCCGGCTCCGCCACGGCCGTGCTTGGCCCTACCCGACGAGCCACGTACGTCACTTCCCCCTCATTAACTGAGGAAGCCTAGGTAGTTGGGAGGCGGTGGGTTGATGGTAGACTCTCAAGGAAGTAGCTAGCCATTGACTTGGGTTGCTGAGGGCCAGTTATGGACAGTACAGGCCACTGAAGGGTTGGGAGGTGGGACACTGCTGTCTAGAGATCTGGGGATTGATTGGTTTGTGTCATGAGTCACCTAGGGGCATCAAATGTCGAGGACACTGAGGGGTTGTAACTAAGGAGCAAGAGCTCCCTGGGGTGCTTAAGGCTGGGGCCTAACAAGGCTTCTGTCCACAGCCCTGAGCCTGGAGATGATGGGGAGCCAGGACGGTCAGGCCTGGAACTGGAACCAGAGGAACCTCCCGGCTGGAGGGAACTTGTGCCCCCAGACACCCTGCTCAGCCTGCCCAAAAGCCAAGTGAAGCGGCAAGAGGTCATCAGCGGTGAGTTCCACCCTGAGTCCTGCAGCAGCAGGGATGCCATGCTGGCTGAGGCAGAGGACAGCTGGATGCACAGCTGCAGAAGAGACGCAGAAAAGCCAGGGCCACTGGCAGAGCCATGCTTCCAAAGACGGTGCAGCAGTGCTGATGTCAGGAGCCAGGCACAACCACTGTCATCCCTGGGGATGGCCTGGGGAGGGTCAGGAGGCCAGCGAGAAAGACAGTCAGAGGTTCAAGGCCAGGGTCCACGAGGTGGCTTAGTGGGTAAAAGGAGCCAGGTCCCATCCACATGATGGGAGAGAGCCATCTCCACAGGTTGTCCTCTGACCTCTACATGGGTGCCATGGTATGTACATGAATATGCATGCGTTTGCACACACATACTGTGTATGTATGTGTAAATGTAATTTTTTTAAATAAGGATATTCACTTCAATCTTAGCCCTTGGGAGGCAGTACCAGGCAGATCTCTGTAAGCTCCAGACTAGATGAGACTACATAGCAAGTTCCAGGACTACATCAAGAGATTCTGTCTCTTAAAACAAAAAAACAAAAAAAAAAAAAAAAAAAAAAGAAAGAAAGAAAGAAAGAAAAAAGGAAAAAGGAGCCAGAAAACAATATGAAGCTATTCCCCCTCTGCTCCTCTTAGGCATTTCGGTTTCAGTTTATTTGTTTCTGGTTTTGTTTCTTTGAGATAGGGATTCTCTGTGTAGCTCTGGCTGTCCTGGAGTTAGCTCTGTAGAGCCTTGAACTCAGAGATCCAGCTGCTTCCTGAATGCTGGATTAAAGGGGTGTGCCACCATGCCCAACCCTTTTCAACTTTTTCATTTGTATTTGACTTAATTTGCTTATTTTTATCTGTATGGGTATTTTGTCTACCTGTGGGTGCCTGGTGTCCCTGGGTCCCCTGGGGCTTTAGTTACAGATGATTGTGAGCAGCCCAGCCGTGTGAGGGCTAGAAGTCTGCAAGAGGAGCCAGTATGCTCAGCTTTTGAGCCATCACTCCAGCCTCTCAGCTAGAGTCTCATATAAACCAGGCTGATTTCCAACTTCCTGTGTAGCAGCTCAGGGTGTCCTTGAACTCCTAATTCTCCTGTCTCAGCCTCCTAAGTGCTGGGATTACAGTTGGGTGCCATCGGGCCTGGCTCTGGCTTTTGTTTTATGAAACAGGGTCTCACCCTGTAGCCCAGGTTGGCTGGCCTGGAACTCAAGATGCTTTTCTCCCAGCCTCCTGAGTAGCTGGGCCTACAGGACTGCACCATTAGGCCTGGCTGTGAGCTCTCAAAGTGTGGTGGCCACAGCCGAGGACTGTGCTGTGTTTCATTTACATTTTGTAGCCACAGTGGAAATAGCAGCATGTGGCTAGTGACACCCCCCCCCCCCATTAGCTTACACAGCTGCCCTTTACCAGGAATAGTGTTCAGGGCAGTGAGATGGGGACGCACGCTGCACTTGGAGCACTTGAGAGCTGGAGGTAGTAGGGCCAGGGTTTCTGGGTAACCCTCAGCTGCAAAGCCAGTGCAAGACCAGACCAGACCTCAGGAAACACACACACACACATACCTTCTGTCTGTCTGTCTCTCACACATATATACACACCACATACACACACTCTCTCTCACACACACTCTCGCTTCTCTTGCACACACTGTCTCTTACACACTTTCTTCTCTTACACTCATACACATACACACTCTGTCTCTCCCAACACACTTCTCTTGCACACACTGTCACACACACACACACACACACACAATCATCATCATCACAGTGCATTTAGTCTTAGCAGACTTGTGTGCCCCTGAAACTCACCCAGTGACTGGTTGGTTGTGGAGGAGTGGGGTTGCCCCTGGACCTGAAGCTACCAACCTGTATTAGAGGAATCACTGTGTGATGCTGTATTCCCAACACCTGGGAGGCTGACGTAGACGGTACTTGAGTTCCAGGCCAGCCGTACCACATGAGAGTCCCTGTCAATAGGTAGATAGCTGTGTGTCTGTATGTGTGTGTAGTCTGTCCTCAGTGGCTACATGAGGCAGTAGTGACTCTATCCAGAGTATTTTCTTACCTCAGCAACTTCTCAGGATCCTTCCGCAACCTCCCCATTCTCCCAGCCTGCCTTCGAACCTTCCCCTACAGTCTGTGTCCTCCCTAGTAATACTTGCTGGTTTTGGGCCCACAGAGCTGCTGGTGACCGAGGCAGCTCATGTGCGCATGCTGCGGGTGCTCCATGACCTCTTCTACCAGCCCATGGCAGACGGGGGCTTCTTCCCTCTGGAGGAACTGCAGAACATCTTCCCCAGCTTGGATGAACTCATTGAGGTGCACTGTGAGTGCCGGCCACAATCCCTCCTGATCCACACCCTCCATCGGCTCCCTCTCCTGGGCCTCCTCCATTGAGTACCTGCCAGACTACTCCTAGGGATCATACACTTCTGACCCCTACAGCACACACCCCAGAGGTGCACACACGCATGTGTCTGCCAGCTCACCAGCCCCAAGAATCAGACACAGACTGCAGCCTGAGCCAGCAGCAGCTCCAGGCAGGTATTTCGGTCTCCTAAGCGTCAACCAAGCACGTCCTGTGTCCCCCACAGCCCTGTTCCTCGATCGCTTGATGAAGCGGAGACAAGAGAGCGGCTACCTCATCGAGGAGATTGGCGATGTGCTGCTGGCCCGGGTGAGGGTGCCCCTGCATGGCCCCAGACACTGCCTCTTAGTGTCCTCCCCACAGCCCCCAGCCATCTGGGCCCCCGGCCTGTCCCACTTTAGCTTCCATGACTATAGAAGACTGTTTTGACAGCCCCCTCTGAGACCTTCCCTTGCCTGAATCTCCCTGCAGTTCGATGGTGCTGAGGGCTCGTGGTTCCAGAAGATCTCCTCCCGCTTCTGCAGTCGCCAGTCATTCGCCTTAGAGCAGCTCAAAGTCAAGCAGCGCAAGGAGCCTCGGTTCTGTGCCTTTGTGCAGGTGAGGTGGGACATGGGCCCCGGGTTTGATCAAGATGCATTGCACAAACATCATGGTATTCTGCATGTGAGGGAGGAGGGCTAGAGCTGAACTCTGGGGTCTCAGGAGAGAAAGGCATGGCCCTGGGCCACCTCAGTGCTGTTCGCTCCCCAGGAAGCTGAGAGCCGCCCTCGGTGCAGACGGCTGCAGTTAAAGGACATGATCCCCACTGAGATGCAGCGGCTGACCAAGTACCCACTGCTGCTGCAGAGCATCGGGCAGAACACAGGTACCCCAGGCCTTCCTCTGACTGTGAACACTGAGCCAGGACATGACACAGTGGGGGTTTACACCTCTGGCCTTGCCTGCAGAAGAGCCTGCGGAACGGGAGAAAGTGGAGCGTGCAGCGGATTGCTGCCGGGAGATTCTGCACCATGTCAACCAAGCCGTTCGTGACATGGAGGATCTGCTGGTGAGCCTGGGCATGGCGAGGGACATGCTTTCAGCTTGTTCAGAGATCAGACATAGCTTTTGCTCCCTTGGCGTCAGTGTCCAAGGGTCATTTATCCCTTAGTCTCTTCCTCTTGGGATTGCTGGGAGACTCATCTGGACCTCAGCTTGTCCCTCGGACGTTGGCCTTGCTTCGTTGCTTACTCACCCACCTTGGATCACTGAGGGCAGTGCCTGTGCCTGGTTTAGCCCCCTGGAACCCTTCCTTTCTCTAATCTAGAGACTCAAGGATTACCAGCGGCGCCTGGACTTGACTCACCTGCGGCAGAGCAGTGACCCCATGCTGAGCGAGTTCAAGGTGAACCCAGTGGCCTTTGCCTCTCCTCAGTTCACCTTGGCCCTGCTGCCCACAGGTTCCTGCATATAGTGCAGCTGAGAATGCACCCAGGGAACCTCTGTCCCCACCTCCTTCCCAGATGTGTGTCCACGGTGACCCGGACTTCACCCCCTGGTCTTTCGCTGTTCTGCCTTCTACCTTGCCCTCCCTTTTCCTGTCTCCTCCTGCCACTTAGCTGACTGTGGTGACCCCTGACATCACTCCCTGGTCTTTGGCTGTTCTGTTTGCTGCCTTCCTCTCCCTTCTGTATCCCCTCCTGCCACTTAACTGACCATGGCTCCTTCCTGCCTTAGAACCTGGACATCACTAAGAAGAAGTTGGTCCATGAAGGTCCACTGACATGGCGGGTAACCAGAGACAAGGCTATAGGTGAGTGCTCCCTCCAGCCAGGAGAAGGAGGGGTGGGGTTGGTGGTCATAGAGGTGAGGTGTGATCCTGGTGCCTCACCCAAAGAGGTCCACGTGCTATTGCTGGACGACCTGCTCCTGCTGCTTCAGCGCCAGGATGAGAAGCTGCTGCTCAAATCACACAGCCGGACGCTCACACCCACGCCTGATGGCAAGACCATGCTGCGGCCTGTGCTCCGGCTCACCTCTGCCATGACCCGAGAGGTGGCCACTGGTAAGCTGGGGCAGGTTGTCTGAGTGGAACGGGCCAGAGACTGAGAAAGGACCACGTGAGGCAGAAATGGGCGGGACTAAGTAAGAGTGGCAAACGTGGTGGCTTGAGTTTGAAATCAACCTACTAAAAATAGAGCTGGGCTTGGTGGTGCCGGCTTTAATCTCAGCATTCAGGAGGCAGAAGAAGGCAGATTTCTGAGTTCAAGGCCAGCCTGGTCTATAGAGTGAGTTCCAGGACAGCCAGGAATACACGGAGAAACCTTGTGTCGGAAAAGGAAGAAAGAAACTAAAAAATAAAAATAGAGGGAACTGCCTACATTTACAGAGAAGCATGGTCTGCCTCATGGAGATTTTTCACAACATTGTCATGTACTTGGGACATAAGGTGGAACCCCGGGCAGAGAGTTTAGCAAGCATTGCTGGTTGTGCTGGTGCCACTGATGGTGGGTGGAGCTGGGGGAGGGGTCTCTGCAGGTCAAGGCTGCCTAAGCACTCCAGCCTGGTGTGATGGGCCATGGAAGACCTCGGTATTAGCAGGACAGTGACTGGGAACTGTATTGCATAAGGAAAAAGTAGTAGACAGTACCCCAAGAGAGGTCCATATGGGACCTCAGCACCAGGCCCTGTCTCTCCCCTCCCTATGCAGATCACAAAGCTTTCTACGTCATTTTTACCTGGGACCAGGAGGCCCAAATATATGAGCTGGTGGCACAGACATCATCAGAGCGCAAGAAGTGAGAGTCCTCAGGGATGGTGTGAAGGTGTATGTCCTGCATGGGGTTCAGGTGTGCTGAATGCCTCTGGTCTTGGCCTGTCTCCCCAGCTGGTGTACTCTTATCACTGAGACTGCCGGATCCCTAAAGGTCCCTGCCCCTGCCTCCCGCCCCAAGCCCCGGCCCAGCCCTAGCAGGTAAGGAGAGCTAGAAAACCAGGGAATGGGAGACCATGTCCCTGTGCATCTACAGAACTTGTGCCCCAGCCTGTCTCTGTGCACGCACATGCATAAGCATGTATACATGTACGTGTGTGCTGACTCCATCATGGCCTCCTCCTGTCTCTAGGCCTCTGTCTCCTATTATTCAGGCCTCCTCCTCCAGCTATTTGTCCCCCGACCCCTGCCACTCCCTGGGGACCGGGATGTAAGGTTGGTCATCTGTCACTTCCCTCCCTAGCACCCGAGAACCTCTGCTCAGCAGCTCGGAGAATGGCATTGGAGGCCGAGAGATGCCTCCAGCTGATGGTAAGTCCAAAGGTCTGGCGGGGGGAGGTCACTGGAAACCAGGCAGAATCTGAGCCTCCCTCTTTGTCTGCCTCCCCAGCCCGGACAGAGCGCATTCTCAGCGATCTCCTGCCCTTCTGCAGACCAGGCCCAGAGGGCCAGCTTGCTGCCACAGCCCTGCAGAAAGGTAGGTAGGCCAGCTCTGCACCCTCCAGGTCCAGGACCTAGCCGAACGGTGCCTCAGTTTGAACTAGAGAAAGGCTCTGTCTTTCAGATTTCTTTGTCCACGAATCAAGAAACTCTGCCCTGCCCACAGCATCCTGGGTGGCCCACATTGATTTTTCTTCTTCAGCTACTCTCCCACCCTGGATGCTGAGTTCAGTTTCTCCAACCTCAGGTCCCCTGCCCCATCCTAACCCTTTTGAATATCTACCTCCATCCCTCAGTTCCCAGCTGACCCTTATCTCCAGTTCTCTGCACACAGCCAGAATCCCAAGCCCTCTGCCTTCATGACCCTGTCCCCCTTTGCCTTGGCCAGTGCTGTCCCTGAAACAGCTCCTGTTGCCTGCCAAGGAAGATGGTGGACTGGGGCCTCCCCAGGATGGGGATGGAGTGCCTGGTGGTGGTCCCCCAGGTCTAGCACAGATTCAGGAGAACTTGCTCAGCCTAGAGGAGATTGTCAAGCAGCTGGAGGTATGCTTGGAACCAGGGGACTTGGGGCAGGCCGCGGAAGGAAAGGCATTCCTCATCTGTGGTCCTCTCCAGGAGTTAGAGGAAGAATTTTGTCGCCTGAGACCCCTCCTGTCTCAGCTTAGCGGAACTTTGTCACCTAGCCTGGCTGTACCTGAGCGCTCTGTTCAGACAAGTGAGTCGGGAACTGGGGCCAGGGCGCTGTTCTGAGGGGCTGGAGGGAGGCAGGATACCCTGTCCTGCTGTCCCATCTGCCTCAGTCCATCCCTCCCTACCACTACTTTCTCAACCCCTTTCCTCCATCTCTCCTTGTCTGCTTCTTGTACCCCTCAGGCCTTTCATGAAGAGAGGATGTGAGGGTCTCCCACCCCCCTCGGCTGCCACAGCGTCTCACACCCCAGAGGCCTTGAGGAGAGGGAGACTGGCCACACTTGATAGGGGACCTGCTGGAGTCCCTGCCTCCCACACTGGCCTCTGCCTTTCTCCCTCCTGCCTTCGCTTCAGGGGCTCAGGGCTTTACCCCCAGAGTACCACCATAATCCCCATTTTCCAGGCCATCTCAGTATTGCCTATGGGGGGGTTACCCCTCCATCCCCCACCCCAAGTGCCTTTGCTCTGTTTTTATACCCTGAATGGAGGTTTATTTTTAATATATATTATCTAAGGAGATGTCTGTGTGTGTGAGAGCGATGGGGCCCCATGTCTGGGTCTGACCCACATCACCTCCGTGACTCTTGGCTCCTTTCCAGCTGCCCATTTATTTATTCACTTGTCTTACATTTTTAATTAGTATATTGTGGGTGGGGCGCACATGGGTGCCAAGTCAGGACAACCTGTTGGTTCTCCGTCCTCCATCTGGTCTCAGGCTTGACAACAAGCACCTGTACCTTAACCATCTTGTCCCCATTCACTTGTAACAGTGACTCCACACATACAATGGATATGAGGTGTGCACCCCCCCTTCCCAGTTTGGAGCCCCATGATCATCCAAAATGCCAGCCAGGTAGCCCACAGCTCACACTCTTGTTCTTTTATTGTTGTAGTAAACTCTGGAAGTGGCTGTGGGGTTTCAAGGGGAGCCACTGGGGAGGGGGCCCCTCCTGGGCGGGGGTTGGAGGCGGGGTTATTGCTCTGAGCTCCCTGTCCCCAGGGGGACCTGTATGGGAGAATTTCAAGAGGGGGCCGGCACTGGATTGGGGACACTGCCACACAAACACGCAGGTCACAGCACATAGGAGGTCGGGGAGGCTGGGCGCCATATTGCACTTTGAGAGTGGGGCCAGTTGGTTTTCCCCCTCAAATTGGAACCTGGGGGAGACTGGAGGCCATCATGTCCCTTTCCACTCTGTGGAGAAGGTGTGACCTCCACTCAGGTTTTGGAGATGGCCAGGAGGTGCCAAGGGCTGGTCCTGGGTCTTGGGCTGGTGTTAAGGGCAGAGCAGACTGCCCTGGTCACCAGCGGAATCCACCCTGCACCCACTCAGCTGCCGCTCCCCCCTTTGCCTGTCTTGGTCTTGGGGGACGCGGGTAGACCCTCATCGCCTTCACTGTCAGAGCTGCAGCCGCTGACGTCGGTGATCTCCAGCTCAGAGTCGCTGTCCTCCTTCCCACCTTGTGTGGCCTCTGGACCTCCTGCCCCCGGCAGTGCCAGACGAGGGGCCACTGCCAGCCCCGAGGGGCGCTCAGGGCCCAGGCCCTCCCCTGTTGCAGCAAGCAGGGGTGCAGCCATGGGACCTCCCCCTGCTCCTGCAGAGGGCAAATGGCCCAGGGAACCCAAAGGGTTAGGGTAGAAGTGAGGTGGGTAGAGAGAGGTGGGCAACTTGGGGAAGGGGCCTGTGAGGTATGGGTTAAAGTTCCAGGGGTACTCAGGGAAGGTGCGGCCGTAAGGACCCAACAGGCCGGGGGGCTTGGAGTAGCCGGTGGCACCTGGGGGGATGACATAGGGAACAAGTCAGGCTGGCCCACTGGGGACCAGCTTGCACCGGGGTGGACCTCCCCAGTGTACTTCCACTCAGGCTCTCCCCCCTCCTCCATTTCATCTCTCCATTCTTCTGCCTATTCCTTTAACTTGCCTCCCCCCAAAACCCTGCCAAGTAGCCAGCTTCCTCGCAAGCTGCTCAGCAGCAGCGTCTCTGCCTTGATGGGTGTTGTGAGATGTTCCAATTATGTAAGCCAAGTTGGCTTCCAGCTTGTGATCTGCCTGCCTCAGCCTCCTGAATGCTGGGTTCTGTGTAGTCCAGCTTGACACTGACCTTGACCTTCCAGTTCTGGTGCCCCTAGCCTCTGGGTTGCTGGTGTGTGCGCCACACCCAGCTGCTTTAGCAGTGGTAACCTGAGGCTTTGTATAAGCTCTGAGCTACATTGTCACCCCCTGCCCTGGCCTTTAAACACATGCAACCACACAGAAACTCCATAGACACCCCAGCCTGAGCATCCCTCTGTCTTGTCCCCTGCAGTCCTCTCTTTCCATGTGAGCAGATTCCCACCCCTAACCCCAGGCCCTTACCAGAACCCAGGAATGGGAAGGGACCATCCAAACGTAGTTTATCAGTCTCTGGGGCAAATAGGGGTGTCCGGCCCCCTGGCTCTCCTAGGCGTGGGGTAGAGAACAGGTTCTGCAGGGTCTAGAGAGGAAAGTAGGGAAGGCGGTACTGCTTAGCCCTCTGTGGGGAGAGTCATGTTGTAGGGGACACCCCACTAAGATCCAACCCTAGGATGCCAGTATCCAAACTCACCTCAGGGGTCAGGGGTGGAGCATCTGGCCCAGGTGCCCCCCCAAAGGGTCCAGGCGTCAACAAGAGTGGGGAGCCAGTAGCAGCAGCAGCCATGTCCAGCAGCGGATAATTGACAAGCACAACTTTGCTGAAGTTGAATTTGTACGTGAACCTCTTCCCTTTGGTCTTGTGGAGAATGCGCTTGTTGTAGTAGTAACTGTGGGAGAGAGGATGGGGTTCTGGGGAGGGGCAAGGGAGGGTGAGCCAGTAGCTGGGCTCAAGTTCTTCTTGTTGCCACCCCCACCCAACCTCCAGTCACAAGTACTGGGATCCAATGAAATTCAGTCCTAGGATACAGAGAGAGCACCCCCACCTTTTAGGGGGACCAGAAGGGACAGTGAAGGAAGAAGAGAGCATGATGGGAGCCTGGCCCACAGCCCCTCCTCACCGCAGGGCCCGGCTCAGCTTGTCATAATTCATGTGGGGCTTGCATTTGCGAATGCCCCATAGGCGGGCCACCTCATCAGGGTCCTTGATGACAAATTCCCCGTAGTCCCCCTGCCAGGCTATGACACCCTGGTACTCCTCCTTCTGCAGCAGCTCCAGGATGAAGTGCCACAGCTGGATCTGCCTCGAGCCAGGGGATGACTCCGGCTTGTAGGCCCAGTCTGGGAAGGCAAACCCTAGAGACACAAGACAGGGAAGCCTTAGGGCCAGAAAGCTGAGATAGGGTGCGCAGTTGAGATGTTCAGTCTCTGAGGAGCATCTCCAGGGGCCTGTGAGTCACTCTTCAGACCTCCCCTGCTTGAGTCTGCTCCCTAAGTTACCTAAACAGCTGGAAGGAGCCCCTAGGCTTGTGCTCCTAACACGCCTTGTGCAATTGCCCCAGGTTCAGCCAAGGAAAGGGAGAATGGAATTGAGGGGGGACATATTTCCTGCATCCATGGCTGTCTTGTGGGGGTGCCAAGAGGGCACACCCTCACAGTGATCACCCTTAACGCTGCTACACTGTTAGGAAACCTTTGGTATTTCCTGCGTCCTGATAGCTCTCACAACTGGGCCATTCCTTGAGGCCCCATTGGAGCACACATCCAGCCTGTATTCATGTATGTATCTATATCCCTTTAATGTGTCCCCTCCTACATCCATGCGCCCATCTTCAAGCTTTCCAATGTGAGGTTGTGTGAGCAGGCAGGCACAGACCTATAGGTTCCCATGGTGACAGCAGATCACACAGCCACTTGCGATGTTATCCCATAGGACACAGTCTCACCCATGTGCCACAGGCCTGCCTGGGGCCACTAAGGCCAACACCAGATAGATACAGGCTGCCTAAGATATAAGGACCCCAAACCCAGCATTGCGCACCCATTGCAACAATCACCATTATTCACTAAAGGCCTCTGTTGGGACCCCCTGACAAGTGTATGACAAAGAGAGACACATGAGCCCAACAGCCCAGCTAACACCTGGTATGATAGACAATGAAGCAATGACACCAAAGCCCCCAGATAGACAGCTGGACACATGCAGGGTAACAATAATAACTGAACAACTTCCCTTCCCATGACCACATCCAGGCATGTGTATGTCAGCACTCCCATGGCCCACTTGGCATTACTTCACCCTGGAAGGAGCATCTACTATCCATATGCCCCTAGAAGCCAGGAGCAAGCAGAGATCTTGCCCACCCCTGGTCATCCCAATCTAGAAGGCTTTGGGTCCCAGTGTCCACAGCAACTCCTATGTCATCCTCCATCTCCTACCTGGCGAGAGTTGGCATGACCCAGGTGTGAACACATGGTTAAATCTGATCTCTAGCAAGCTGAGAGCAGTGCAAGAGAAATGGGAGTGGGCTTGGGGAAGCCACTGCAGAGCAGAGCGGGGTATGAGAGGGACTGTGTTGAGCTGGGAGACCTGTGTCCTTGGATCTAGTGCTGTGCAGCCAGGGGGACGTTCCTTGCCCTCTCTGGATTGAGGTCCCAGAGGCAGGCAAGGTGCAGCAGAGTCCCACCCAGGCTGCCGAAGGACAGGTAGTTCTTGGCCACTCCCTATGGGAGAGGGATTTTAAGCAGGGTCAGTCTCACCTCAGATGCCATGATCTAGATGGACACTGGCCTAGCCTTACTCCTAGTACCCTTCCTCGGGAAAGCCACTGCGTCACAAACATGTTTGCACAACCAAAAGACAAGAAGGGATCTAATGAAGAGGGGACCTGCTACAGAAAGCAGACACAGACAATCCCCAGAACCAAGCAGTGGGAGGCACACAGAGACACAGCCCAAAAACCAAGCCCAGATCCCGATATACAGGCCCAGGGCCATCTACCCACACACTCCAAAATGTACCTCAGCTACCTGCTGAGGATGCCCCAGACTACCAGAGACAGGCACAGCTCCTTTCCCCACCAAGGCAGAGGCATAGTACACGAGCCGGCAGATGCCAAATGTATACATGCATGACCCCGAGATGTCGAGCCCAGAGTCGCTCCTGTGGCCTCCGGGGTCCAGTCTGTGGAGCAGGCACAAGTTCACACAAAGACAGCCTCCTGGAGACACTTGACCTCTGTGACCCCCTCAGGAACACTGAAGTGGGAAGCCTGCAAACACGCCACAGTGAAATTCCCGGCAACCAGCCAAACGGTTGGTTCTCAAAGACTCGCTCCTATTAGTGACCCCTGCATGCCCAAGCAGGTCCTGTTCCCCCGAGCACCACACACATCTTCTTGCATCCTCTCTTTAGGCTGAATCCTTCCCCTTGTGCCTATCCTAGAGGTGTAGGCTCTGCCCTCAGCACAGTAGGTCCTGAGTAAGTGCAGGCTAAGTGTACATGGCAGAGAAATACCAGATCTCAGTTCCCTTGGTCCTCATTCCATCCTCCAAAAGACTCTCAACCCTTGTGTCCCAGCAAGCAGGTGGCAGGGAGAGAGAGGGCCCTGAAGTTTCTGGTC